CCACCTGATTACATAAAAACATTTCAGTACTCATTTTTTTCCAGTAGTAGCAAATAATTTAAGTGTATAATTTATAAAGCAGAATTGTTTACTGACATTTTTGAAACAATGAAAAGTTCCCTCCACTATCTGTGCAGCCATGGATTAAGATTTACCTAGTGAAGGCTAGCTAGCTTCAGCACATGAGTTAGACTGATCAGCATTAGAAATGAAAACAATATGGTTTTAAAAAGTCTCAATCCGTTCAAATTATATATAAAATTGGAAGATTAAATACAAATTATTGAAATTTCAGGCAGGTCAAATTAAAGCTATCATTTCTTTCTTATAGTGGGACCTATAATTTGAAAATATGCTAAAATTATTTTTAATTAAATTAAAAGTAAAAAGTATACTTACTTTGAATGAGCTAGAACCAAAGGGTAAAGACTTTCCATAGTATCGATGTTCAGCAAATACCAACATAGCTTTCAGTTCCTCAGCCACATCCCACATGAACCCCTAGGAAGAATTTATAAATTCAGAGGTAAAAGCAAGATACAAAAATTGTCACTGCACCTTTTTTGCAACTCATATAAAACAAATGTTAAATCAGACCAAAAGAGCTCTCTGAGAAGCCAATAATTTATACTTATTCCACAGATAAATTATATAATTGCTGTTTCACTGTTGCCTATCGATCTCAAACTATATTAGAGTGAAACAAAAATAAGCCCAAGTTGCTTAACCACAAGTCATTCCAGCTCTCCTTATTCTGACACTCTGGCCATAGAATCAACATTATGTCAAAAATAGTCTTTAAATTATACTGTGTGCTAAACAGTCTAAGAAAGAGCTGAGAATATTTAAGTTTGCTGCCTACTCATAGACATTTACAACATAAAAGAAAAAAACAGTACAAATAAGCATACTGGACTAACTTGGGTTTTACATTAATCTTATTTACTTGAAAATGAATAGTAACTAGCAATAGCTAATATTAATTGAGTGCTTACAATGTGTCAGGCACTTAATACAAATAAACATTTTATTTGTATTAATTCACTTAACTTTCACAACAATCGAAGAGATATGCATTTTGATTATCCCCATTTTACAAATAAGGACACTGAAGCACAAGAGTTTAAATAACCTGCTACAGTCACATAGCTAGAAAGTGCCAATGTCAAATTCAAACACAGACTGCCTGGCTCCAGAGTATAATCATCAAGTGCTATAAGACGTCCTTGTTTCTACATGTAATGTTAGCCATTAATCATTGCAGTTTTCCACTTATCTCAGTTGTGCCTTCAGAATCCTTCTCAACAAAGCATTTTAGGTGGCCAACATCAACCAATTAGATTTAGATTTAGCATATATTAAAACTATTTGCCCTTCCTAGTGCAGATTTTTGCTTTTTGATGCACTGCTGCTCCCTAACAAGAACTAAGAACCTCTAAATTTTTTTGTTTGTTTTGATCAATAAATGAACAATTAAAAGAAATTTTATGCACATAAAGATGAAGAATTTAACTTGACATCTGTGATGATTTCAATAATTCCACTTTCTCTCTTAAACACTGCTCATTCTCTGCCATTTATCTATAGACACCCAGCTCAAGCATGCCATCCTCTGCCTGCCGTACCATGGCAGTGCTGATCACTCCCTCCTTTCAATACCACTGTGCCAGGTATAGATCTCTATTAGTATGTTGCAATATTTGCTTATATGTGTGTCTTACCCTACCAGACTATGAGCTTCTTAAGGGTAAGGACCATCCATCAAAACAGCCAGACCTCTGTGGAGTTGACCCCAGGCTTTAAGAAGAAGCAATTTAATTGAAATGATTAACACTGTAATAAGTGATTATTTGCCCTTACCTCAAGGGTATTTTTATTTTTCAAATGAGGTCAATGCAATATATTAACATTTAATAACGTACGTGCCAGCATTGCTCTGAGTTTCCGATTCTTATTTAGTCTTCGACAACTCTGTAAACTAGACATTATTAACATACCCATTTAACAGATGGGAAACTGAGGCACAGAATAAGAAAGTTGCCCAAAGACACACAACATAGCGGCAAAGTGAGAATTCAAACCTTATCAGTCTGGTAGAAGTCTTCACTCTTGAGCACTATGATACACTGCCTCTCAATAAATGAATGTCCAGAATATGTGAATATGCAACTAGAAAATTTAATATGTAATGAAAGGTGCATAGAGCTGGGATGAAACCAGGATGTCCTTCTACAATCTGCCTCTGGAACTGTTCCTACACTTTCTTTCTACCACTTCCGAGGTTAGAGATTCCCTGGCAAACTTTGGATTATGCTGCAGTGCCAGTCAGAGCATTGGAGTCTGGTAAAGGCAGGAAGGGCTGCCTGCCTACAATAGAGAAAAACAAGAGAAGTTGCCCTATGACCCTGGCATAAAAGAGAAGTCACACAAGAAAGAGAAAGGGAGACAAGGCAAACTCGGTTGTTTCACAGAGCAGGAATATGATGGAAAACAAGTTCTGATTTCCTTTGTCACTCACTGATCAAAGAGAAATAGACATACTAGCATCTCATTTCTTAGGGAATTACTTTACTTTCAACTAACATATTTAAACTCTTAACATTCCTAAGGAAACAATCAGAAATATGGCATATAATTACACAGTACTATTGGGTTCATACCTTTGTTTTCAATTCAGTTCAGTTCAACACACGTTTAGTGAGATCTCCTGAATACCAGGCACGATGCCAGACATTGGCAGTGGAGAATATGATTCAGTCTCCACTTTAAGGTAATTGACAGAATAGGTTTTTGATAGAAAGTCTAAGTTTTCTAATCCTATCTTTGGCACATTAAAAAGGAAATTTCTTCCTTTCATGTGTCCTTCTAAATTAAGTTTCAATAATGGATTATAAAAGATATCAAATATAGTCAGGGAAGCAATCTAACAGCTATACCATTTTTCACCATCATAAACATAAGAAAAATGATAGGACAGTAGTAAAGATAAATTAAAATATGTCGGTGCCTACTTGACAGCTTAGACTTTTTTTTCTTATTTGCATTGGCTTTGATCAGGTTTTATTCATTTATTCAGTTAACAAATATTTATTGAGCACCTACTATATGCCTAGCAGTCTTGGACTCTGAGAATATACTACTGAACAAACATACAAAAATTCTTGCCCTTGTATTTACATTCTAGAGACCATTATAAAAATAAAATAAAAAACTATATGCCATAACATTCCTATTCCCATTTCCTTCATATTCTTATTTACTCTAGAAATAAGCTGAGATTTTTAAAAAATCTTTTAAAATTGAATTGTTCAATAATAGCATTTAATTCTTTTCACACGTAACTCTTTAAGGCTGAACGTGCAGGTTTATTGGGTATCTGTATTTATTCTTTTGTGAACTCTCTATTCATGTTCTTTTGCTGGTTTTCTATTATTAGTGAGTTTAATCTTTTGTTTATTTTTTAAAGAACTTCACAATTAAGTACAGTTAAACGTGGTCAAATATACTATAAAATCTTTTTTCCAATTTATAATAAAAAGAAAATAGAGCATAGGAACTTCACAAATCTGCACATACCGTATTGTTGCAAAACCAGATAATGTCCCCTTCATTACCAGTGTAGAAAAGTATTGATCCACCATCTTTCTTCCAGTGTTTATCAGCTATTAGGTACCGCTGATTAAAAGTTTTATCAGTATTAAATCCAAAATGATCCACCTATAAGAAAAACAGACAAGACATATTTCAAAGGAAAGTAATTAAATGAGATCAACGTAAAAGTAATTAAATCTGTTCCTCCATTAAAATCGACCTATGCAACAAAAAGTATACAAAAAATTTAAACTTCATTTGGCTTTATTAGCAGTAGTAATATTGATACTGTTGTTTTGAAATTATTTTATTTATATTGTAAGACAAAATAATGCTATTGATGGTCAAGATTTTTAGTGTAAGAGAAAAGATACAATTACAAAATCAAGTAGCTACTTTAAAACACAATAACTTTAAAATTGAATTGGAAATAGTGATGTGATCCCATTAATCCCTTATTATCTGAATTTTCATTATCCAAACTTTCAATATCAAGATTCAAGAACTAAACAGACCCTGAAAAATTCTATAAACATTGTCATCCCCAAAACAACTGACATTCCAAGGAGCAGTATTTTGGTGTTTAATACCATTCCTCACTAAAAGGAACTAGGGCTTGTTAGTGACATGGCTGGCTGACATTTGGGACAAGGAAGCTACCAGATAAACCTATGCATCGTGCCATTCAAGGAAGCAAGGAATTGCTAAAAAAATTAATGGAGTTATGTTCAATTGGCATAGGACCCAACCACAAAGGCTATCATTGCCTAAAGTATTCATAAAATGAATTAATAAATTGAATATTGAATATAAAACAAATTGAACATAAAAAGAATAATGATAGTTGATTAAAATATTCATTTCATGAAAACCCATTAGTCCATAAGGATATCAAAAAAGAGAACACAAGAAAAATATTCATTTCCCACCATTTAATGTGTCTATTAAACCAACACCTTACTTTAAAATTGGAAATAAAAAATTAAAGAACTCGACATTTAACCTGCCTTTCCAACAGAATTGTATTTCAGGGTACCAAATAGTCCCAGCTGATGAAAAAGAGCTCTCTTTAATTAAATGTCACCTATTGCAGAAGGAATGAAAGAATTAGAAAAATGATAGTTTTGTATAAACCCTAATGAAATTACTGATTCAGGCAAAAATTACCAAATGGTGTTTAAAGCATTCGGAGAATAGATGATAGGGGAATGAACATTCATATTAGTGCCAAAGTAATACCATAGAGAATACTCTTTTGTAATAAGGGGAAAAAATAACTTCGCAATGGGAGGATCAGGCTGCCATCACCTTGATCTAGTTATCAATGTTAGCATCACTAATGGGAGGTAGGCAGGGATTATGTATCTCCTCATGTGGTATAACACGAAGCACATATTATCTATGATGAATTCTGGCCAAAAATGTTCAATTGTCCATCCAGCCTTTAGATCTAATTTCCATTTTCCAGGAAATACACAGGGTAGGAGAACAAGCTGAAGACATTTGGAAGGGACAATCAGACAAATCCAGAAGTGGGACTTTTACAAGACAATGGCAAGGCAGTGTCTTAAAAGAAGACTGTTTTAAATTAAGTAAATTTTAAAAAACGTAATATCCAGATGCAATGCATGATTCTAGATTTTGTCCTAGTTTGAACAAACAAGATATAAAGGACAATTTAGGGACAATTAGGTGAATTTGAATATGGACTAGGTATTAGGTGATAGTAATGACTTGTTAATTTTATTAGGAGTGATCATATTATTTTGGCTACATAAGAAAATGTTTTTGTTTTTGTTTTTATAGCTGCATATAGAAGAATTTAGAAATAGAATGCCATGCTGTCTGTAATTTACTTAAAAATACTTCTGCATAAAAAAGTAAAATGAATTTAAAAGGAAGAAAATTGAATCTATACTGAGAGACAAAACACACAGGATACTGAGACTTTGTAAGATATAATATAAAACGTGTCAAAAATGATAAAAATGACAATAATGTTAAGCTTAAACTGAACTTCGAATACATTTTTTGAGACTCCTCTTTGCTTAATAAACTCACCATTTAAAATATAATTATCAAATTCTATAACACAGTAAGATTCATGTACAACAATATGAATTTACAGTTGCCCCACAGTACAGAGCCCCATTGAGCCTTAAGGATGATGGGGGCTGCATTCCCTAGTGCCTTAAGGAGACAGAAGCCTGACCCTGCAAGACTTCCCTAGGCCATTCCAAAACGGACGGAACACCCCATACTTGGCTACATCTACACACACACACGCGTGCGTGCGCGCGCGCGCACACACACACACACACACACACACTTCACATTCATATCAAAGGTTCCCAAATGCAAGCTTCTCAAAACTGGACCTAATTGCAAACTTCTTGATATCCATGATCATTTCCATATATCGTCCTAAAATATAAGCTATTTTAAACTAAAGACTACCAACCTTCAGGAAAATAGCAGTTTATGTGGAACAGGTATATAATAATGATGTCCATGTGCTAAAAACTCCTCCCATTATCTATGTTAACTCACTCAATCATTCATTCAACAGGCATCTACTGAATGGGCCAAGTACTTGTTCTGGGCCAAATAGTAATCTAAACAACAGGATGAAGTTGGCCAAGAGACAACCCATTTGCCTAAAAATAAAAGAGGGCAAGAAAAGCACAGAGTGAAGGGAAGATAGAAAAGTTATTTCACCTGCTTCTATTCAAGGAGTACAGCAGTTCTCCATGTGAGGTCCCTGCAGGAACAGCATCATCTGGGAACCTGTTAGAAATGCAAATCCTCTGACTCAATCCCAGACCTACTGTATCAGAAACTGTGGGAGTAGAACCCAGGAATCTGTATTTTAACAAGCTCTCCAGGTGGTTTTGATGCATGGCTAAAGTTTTGAGAACCACCAAGTTAGCATGAGCCCCCAAATAAGACATGAATCTGTTATTCCTTGTCTTGATCTGGGTTTTAGAATACTCATATGCTAAGCATCTCACCATGCTGAATGAGACTCTGGTGTTTAAAAATGTGAATTACCACTCAACATTGCTCCCAAATAAAAGCCAACTGTATCATTTGAAATTCAACAGGAAACACCATGATCTTTTGCAACGAAGGAAGAAAGACTGGCTGTGCTGGACTTAAAGAAAGGAAGTATATGGCTTTCTAAGATGCCTTACTATGGGATTTTCAAAGACAATTTTGCCATCACTATTTTCACCTTACCCATTGACTTGAGAGCCGAGGCTTCTTGTAAAATGAGATATAGCTGCACACTTAAGGCAGCCACAAAGAAAAACATTTCAATAATCCAGTCTAAAGGTTTCAAATTTGAAAACATGGATATCAGTTTGTATATATCATGTTAAACGTAAATGGCAAAAAATTCTTACCAGAGGAAAAGCTTCCATCTAGAAAAACAAGGGCCACAAGAACTTCAGAACCAGAGAAAGTAAGAATTCCTTCTGTGGCCATTTTCAGGGCACTCCTGCTCCTAGCTATCATCCCTAATTGTTTTAGATTGGGGGAAAGGAGTAAGAACCCTGATATGATAGAAAGAAAGCATGTTTAAGAGTTAGCAAATCTAAACCTGAATCTCTATTATGAGGCTTCAGGCAAGTCACTTAACCGCTGAGTTCTGGTGTGTTCCTATATAAAATAAGGATAATAACATAATTCAAAGGATTGCTGTGAGGATTAGAGAAAATGTACCTACTTAGGTACATTTACCTAATTAACTAATTACCTAATTACATCAGGAGTATTTAGTGGGTTAAATGAGATGAAAGGGATGATGACGTTATTCACAGAATTATAGGAAGTACCCTTAGTATGTCAAAATCTTTTTTTTGTTTCTGTTTTTTGAGTGCGTCACCTAAATATTAAACAGCTAGAAACAGGATATGAAATCTCTTTTGCAAAACATTACTTTACAGAATTTGGCTCCTTCCTATCACCAAGAATATCAACGTTCAGGTACAGAAATGCAGTTTCCAAAGGCTAATGGCCCAGCACACTAGGAACACTGTGCCCTCTACTGTTGAGAACTGCAAGCTACATGCCACTTCCAGCTCTGGGTTCCTGAATAAAGAGATTTTATAAATTACAACATGAAAGGGGACAAAGGTCTTAGGAACCATTTGATCTGTATTGTTCAATAGAATAAACTGAGTTCAGAGGTCAAGTGACTTGGTCACAAGTCAGAAGCAGAGCTGGAACTTTTAATTATTTTGAGAGTTGGTTTACCGAAATAACTAAATTAATAGTTATATAAAAGTGACACAGACATGTCCTTCAAAAAGGAAACACACCTCTAATGATACATAGTAGTCCTTTCTCATACATGCCAAACAATTTCAAGCTTCCCTCCTTCACCTTGTAGAGAAAGATCCATGAGAATAGGTAGGTAAAAAGACACCAAAAGAATATCCTTTAAATAAAGTTTATTGCAGCAAAAACAACTATTTGGATCTTAAAACCTGAAAATGAAGTTCACATCCAGAAAAGCCTATAAGAATATTACATCTGGTAGACACAGTTTTGGTGGCAATCTGGGGGCAGCGGGGTATGAGGGTGGTAACACAGAGCACCTACTTCGTGCCTGACACTGTGCTGGCACAGATCACTTTATCGTCTCCCAATCACCTCTGGGGATACTTTCATTATACCAATCTTACAATAAGGATGCTGAAGCTCAAAGAGGTCAGATAACTTGACTAAGATAACATAACTAGTAAATAAACATCAAATACGATTATTTTCCATGTGCTTTTATCCTCTACCCAAGCCTACCTAGGACAAAACCCAGTTTGCTTTGTCGGTAAAAATACACTATTGCAAACAGGGACTGCTTATG